TCTTTTATACGTGTCTAAACGCAAGCGTTAAAGTTCTACACTACTGAGAGATTCTATACGAGTGGTCTTATCGTAATAAAAGCTTAGGTGCATTACGATTAGAAAAAAAAAGAAAGGAGAAAAAAAAAATAAATTGCTCGAATTCAAAGCAGCACGAATTCGAAGGAAACATTTGTAGAGTATTCCTTTGAAATAACGAACGATATCGATTGAAATCTGAAATCTAAAGTATTTAATTTAATTTCGATATCAATTTGGTATGTTAATATTAACCAGTTTGGTCTGGATATTAATCATTTAGATATATATAATATACAAGATTTCTCTAATAGATTTTCGACGAGTCTCAATAATCACGTATATATAAGTAACTATATACATACACGTCTTTTTTTATATTGAAATTGCGATCCATGATTATCATTGCGAATTTATATCGTAATGACAACGCACACGTTGCAATTTTCTTTTTATTCGTGGGAATGAAAATGCAAGGCTAAATCTGTAACGCTAATCGTTACCTCTAGTAGTTAATTCAAGTGTCTCAAGGTCAACGCTCTAATACATTCTAATATATTCGTTAGCGAGCTATCAAGCGGTTCCGCGTGTCGTTTTTTCATAGCGTCTTTTATGTATTTTATTTTTGGTAGGTCTTATATACGAAACGATAAAAATACGATTCACTTTTCACGATATTGCTGACGCAGCAAACGAAACACGGTTTTATATTTCGAAGACGAGACATTTCCCTTAGCGAAAGATATATTTCCCTAGAGAAAGAAATATTTTCTCTTTTTATTCAGCATTTCTCCTTTGTAACATCGCTGATGTTAGATACTACGACGACGACGACGACGTTCAATTAGCGATTCCACCAACACGCGTTACACTTTATTTAGAAATAAAGCAAGTGTGAGGTACAATGATCTCGAGTGACAGAGAAGGACATCGGAACGAAGACAGTGCCTTATCAGCTTAATAGCTCGGCGAATTTCAATATACAAGGAGATCACAAATACAGCTATTATTTGTGATATATATTATTACATGTACTCCCGTCGTGTCACGATAGTATTGCTAACTCATGGGAATTATTAAATTGCTAGACAGTAGTAGTAGATATGATATTTTTTTGCTGATTCTCGCGAAGCCGAACTTGGCAGGCAGGAAGTACAATGGATCTGATCTTTTCGGTGCGTTCGTCTACATCGTCGCGAATTTCTTTTCTTTTTTCTTTTCTTTTTCTTTCTTTCTTTCTTTCTGTTTCTTTTTTTTTTTTTTTTTTTTTTTTGAAAGTATGTACATACCAAACCACTTTAGCGTGCGGACACTAAGAAGAATATTCGCAGACTATGGATTCGACCTTCCTTTTCCTACCCTCTTTCTTTCTCTCTTTCTCTTTCAGTTTGTCTGTCTGTCTGTCTCTCTGTCTATCTCTTTCTCTCTCATTCTCGTTGCTCTCGACTCGTCGGGGATGCTGGCAGGCGGATAGTAGTTTGTTAAAGCGTCGGGACACGCGTGGGGGATGCTAGGTCTTTTTGGCATCTGGCCAAAGAATTTTCCGTCTGGTTCTAAAGCTCGAAATTCGTTCTCTCTTTCTCTCTTTCCTCTTCTTTCTTTCTTTTTCTTGCTTTCTCGGTTTCTGCGTGTATGTATATACGAACGAATATATACACGCATTCACACATCTCGGCAAAGTTCGACGTACAGAAAGAATCGATGACCGTCCTTCTAACTTCGTCCTAGGGACGCGATAACGATTCACGCAAAAAAGAAAAAGAAAAGAAAATGAAAGGAAAAAAAGAAGAAAAGAAAAAGAGAGAAAAAAGGCGTCTGTCTTTTAACGATTTCTTCAAAGATTCGTCGCAAAGATCGAAGTTTCTTCAAAGATAAAAATTCAAGACATTCAAAGACTATGTTCTCGTGTTTCGACGAAATCACTTTTTCCGTTTGCTAATGCACGAATCTCGTCGATAAGTTTACTTTTACGACCACTGTAAGAGTAAACGAGATGTCGTTTGTACGTTGAATTGCCTATCGACAGGCGCATTTCGATTTCTTGTTCGTATACTTTGGGAAATACATCTGTAAGGAGTAACATCGTATATTAAAATTTCGAAAGATATGATTTTACGCATCGACCGAGCTGTATGAAGTTATAGGATTTAAAAAAAAAAAAAAAAAAAAAAAAAAAAAAAAAAATTTCTTTTAAATTAAAAAGAAAAGAAAAATAAGAAAAAATGCATGGAAACAAATTCACATTTATATCGTAAAAAAAACGTTGTTGATAAGAAGAGAATAGGTGTTCAGAACTTTTAAACGATAATATCGCAAAAGTGAAAACATGTAACATGCGACGTATTTCCTTACAAGCCACAAATATGTATATTTGATGTTGGATAAAAAAAAAAGAATTTACGGAAGAGTCTAGCAAGGTAAGTTATGCATAGCCATAAATATCTTAGGTAGTAAGCGAGAGGAAAAAAATGATAAGGTTTAGAGCTTTTATTCCCCATATTATCCTTAAAGGGATATAGAGATCTG